CGCAAATTAATTTCGATATTCAACCGAACAAACGCGCGCCGGGCGATTTCACGCTTCCGAAGCCGACGGAGCGGCGCGATGGCCTATTGATTTATCGCTTTCCGCGCGAGGCGCAGGGCCCGACCTCGCGCATATTCCATTCCCTCCGATACGTTCTTGGCGATGCGGCGGTGCCGTTCAGCGGGCTCCTCTCAACGTTGGAGCGGGCGGGATTTCTGTCGATGCCGCCGCGAAAGGCCCTTCTGGACGACTCGTGGACGCTTAAATGGCTGAAATACCCCTTGCGGAGCGATTTTACCGCCATCCGCGCGGCATTTCAGAAGTTAAATCACTTCCCCAAGGCGCGGTTGCTGGGGCGGAAAGATTTACTCTATCGCGCCCTCTGCATGGCCAAAAAGCGCTGGGGGCAATTTGCGAGCGAGGGCCGCTGGGGGGAATCGTCGCCTTCCCCGCGCGATGGCGGGAATCAACCGAAAAATCGCGAACCCTTCGGGGAAGGGCTCTTTCCGAGGTCCTGGACCCTTCCCGAGGAGTACGAGGCCTGCCTGGCCCTCCTTCGCGACCCGGCGAGCGTGGGGAAATTGTTTATTGTCAAGCCGGCCGCCAGCGCATGCGGGCGTGGGGTTTACTTGGTAAAAGGAGCCCCCAACGCCGCGATCCCACCACCGCGAAACCCGCGCGCGGTGGAAAATACGGCGGAGATGCGAAAGGCCAATGCGGACGCCCCGTCTTTTTCGCATTTCCCATCCATGTCGATCCCGGCGAATCCGGCGATCCCCCCCGACCGCTTTCTCGTGCAGGAGTATATTGAGGATCCCTATCTTGTCTACGGGTATAAGTTCGACCTGCGTTTGTACGTCGTTCTTACCTCCTACGAGCCGGTGCGGATCTATTTATACAAAGAGGGCCTAGTACGTTTCGCGACTTCGCCCTATTACGACTTCCCCGAGGACTTTGCAGGCCCCAACCTTGAGGTGGACTTGTCCAAGGAGGATTTGCCAACCGCCACCGCCTCGAAAAAGAGAGCGGGGTCTTCTTTTCGCATCGCGGATGAACGCCGCCTGACGGCGCACCTCACGAACTTTACGATCAACAAGAAATCGGAGGATTTTGTGATTCCCCGCCTCCGTGGGGAGGATTCCGCGGCGAACTCCCCCGCGGGGGAGGAAATTATGCTCTCGAAGTGGACCTTTGCCTCGCTGCGGGTGTACATGGAGGAGGATGGCGTCGATTGGGAGGCCACGATGCGGCGGGTCGAGGATTTGATCGCCAAGGTTTTTCTTTCCATCGTTCCCGACGTCCGGGCGGAGATGCGGGAGTTGGATCCGAATCCACGCGGGGGTGGTTCTCATCTTCAACGCGCGCCATCCTCGCCAGAACCCTCAGCTCGCCCGGGGCCGGATGTACTTCCCGAAGCCTCGTCTTGGTCTCCGCCCGCCATTCCACCCCCGGCCTTCACGGTCAAGGGGGTGAGCCCATTTTTTCAAATATTCGGCGTGGACGTTTTACTCCAGCGCGGCGCCTCGCCAACCACCAGCCAGCCGGATATTTTCCGCTCCGAAGATGAGCGGAGACCTCCAGGCGGCCCCCAACACACTCCCCGGGTGGTTTTAAATCCCGTTATTATGGAGGTTAATATTATGCCCTCTCTCAGTACGCATTACTCTCCGCTCGATCAATGTATTAAGGGGAATTTTATCGCCGATAGCCTGAATTTGGTCGGACTTTCCCCCAAAGCCCTCAAATCGTCTTTTCCAACTCCGTTTACGCTATTCGGGGAGTCTCGTGCAAACCAAAGCGCCCATCCTACAAACTCCTCTTCGACGACGCATGGCAGTGCTGCTGACGATATTTCTAAACAGCAAAATGTAGAGAAAGAGGACAATGCGCTACCTGGGGCTTTGCCATCCAATATGAAAACGGAAGGCACTCGCAAAAGCGATGCGGAGCTTCATATTTTTTCTGATTCATCCGAAAAGGAAGGCGATGAATATAGTTATAATTATTTGTTAAATCATTTTCTCCGTGGACAACCTCCTCATGTGGTGGAGGCATGCATGGTAAGCGAAGAGGAACGCCTCCGCTCACCTCATTTCAGGCGATTGCTTCCAACATCAAGCTCTTTTTTTGAGTATGCCCCTCTGCTTCTTGCGCAAAAGGATGATTTTATGGTTGTTGAGAATGAAGGGGGGAAAAAAATCATGAATTTCCTTCTTTCTAGTGATTTAATGACCGATACTGCGAATACAAGGATAACAGAAGACAGCGCTTCTTGTGTTCATCCCTGGCGATCCTTGGATGAGGTTTTAAGTGCATGGGAAGAGTGCAGAGAGAAGCTTAGCAAAAACAATATTAAAAAATAGGAAATTTGATATATATTTATATATATTCAAAAGTGTATTAGTTAGCATACTTGCTGAATGTTTTTTTTTGTTAAAATACCTCCCTATAGACTTGTTAACTATTTTTTGTTCAATTTTGTATTTAGATTTGCTTCATCAGCTTACCGTATAAATATTCAAGACTAATTATCGACGCTAATGCATCTTTACTAGAAATTTCTTCAATATATGTTATTCATTGCTCTCTTTTTATTATTTCTCCTTAAAAATAGAATAAAAATTAAAGAAAGCACTATATTTATGGAATTACTGGTATGGGTTCTCTTTGAAGCATAGGATATCTGTGTGTAGGTATGCGTGTGAAGGGGAAAAGGTAAGTTACGCGTATAAAATTATCTATATCCCAAATTTATTATAAACATCACTTCTTAGCTAATCACCTTAATGTTTTATTATTTTATGAGGTTTTGTAGCTAAAATGATTTGAAATATTGGATGAACTTGTCCTCCGCAGATTCTTTCGGAATGAAAGCTAGAGGCTGCATAAAACATCCTAATGATTGGCTAACTTTAACTGCATTAAAAGGATAATACTGAAAATGGTATGTTGGTATATGAGGTATAATAGTC